AAAGTATTCTAATTACTGAAAATTGCTTGACACATAATAGGCATTCCATAAATATTGTTCAAGGATGTATGGGTGGTGCCTGTGGCTCAGTGGGTAGGGCACTGGCCCCATATACTGAGGATGGCGGGTTTGAACCTGGCCCTGGCCAAACTGCAACAAAAAAATAGTCAAGTGTTGTAGCAGGGGCCTGCAGTCCCAGCTACTTGGGAGGCTGAGGCAAGAGAATCACCTAAGCCCAGGAGTTGGAGGTTGTTGTGAACTGTGACACTATGGCACTGTATGGAGGGTGATAAAGTGAGACTCTGTCTCTAAAAAAAAAAAAAAGGATGTAATGGAAAGTCTTTGAAGGTTTTAAGGAAGGCAGTGACATGATCATGTCTGGAAAGTTGCTTTGCTCTTTGGACAATGGACTATAGAATGAAATATGGAAGTAAGTGAGTTTAGCTATGAAAAGAAGAGAGTAAACACTGGTTGGCAGGGATTGGAGGAGCAGGCCCTGGAAGAGGAGGAGGTTAGGGTAGTGCAATTTTCCGAGGTAGGTTTGTACGTGTGTGTGTTTTCGTTGCTGATTATGTTTTGTGTCTTGTTTTGTTTTGTTTTTTCTCTCCAAGAAGAAGAAAGCCCTTGATGATAATGAGGTGGTTAAGTCAGAGGTTTCAAGTTTGAAAGAGGCTTAGTAGGGACTGGATATAGCAGACTAGAAGAGTGCAGGCACTGTATTTGAATGAACAAGTTGCTTAACCTCAGTTGCCTCATAACTAACATGAAGGTAATACTAGTAAGTACTTCATGGAGTCATCAGGAAATTGAGTGAGAGATCCTATAAAGCTCTTTGTGGGATCCAGAGTAAGCACTTACTAAGTGCTATTAGCTATTAGACAAAATGTCTAGAAGAACAGTCAGATCAGTAAAGATCAACCAGTGCGTTTTCTCACTACTCATAGTTAACCAGCTATGATTTACTAGATCAGGAAAAGGTTAGAAATAAAAATATCTCATATCTCTTGGCACTGATTCGCTGTCTGTTCTCCAACTTTTTTTTGAGACAGAGTCTAACTTTGTTGCCCTTGGTAGAATGCTGTGGCATCACAACTCACAGCAACCTTACACTTTTGGGCTCAAGTGACTCTTGCCTCAGCCTCCCAAGTAGCTGGGACTACAGGCGCCTACCACAATGCCTGACTGGTTTTTGGTTGTGATTGTAGTTGTTTGGCGGGCCTGGGCTGGATTCGAACCTGCCAGCTCCAGTGTATGTGGCTGGCGTCCTAGATACTTGAGCTGCAGGCCCTCAGCCTGGAGTCTGAATTCTTCTTCCACAACCATGGAATTTCTTAGCAGTTTCTTTTCTTTTCTATTTTTTTTTTTAAGACCGAGTCTCATTTTGTCACCCTCGCTAGAGTGCCCATGGGGTCACAGCTCACAGCAACCTCAAACTCTTGGGCTTAAGTGATTCTCTTGTCTCAGACTCCCAAGTAGCTGCGACTACAGGCACTGTCGACAACGCCCAGCTATTTTTTAGAGATGAGGTCTTGCTCTGACTAAGGCTGGTCTTGAACTTGTGAGCTCAGGCAGTCCACCCACTTTGGCCTCCCAGAGTGCTAGGATTATAGGCGTGTCTCTGACAGATCTTTTTCCCTTTTCGATTGAATTTTTCCTTTCCATAAAATGGAGATTTGGAGGCTGGGCACAGTGGCTCATGCCTATAGGATTGCCTGAGCTCATGAGACTAGCCTGAGTGAAAGTGAGACCCCATCTCTACTAAAAACAGAAAAACTGAGGCAAGAGGCTCGCTTGAGCCCAAGTTGGAGGTTGCTGTGAGCTATACATGGCACTCTATCCAGGGTGATAGCTTGAGACTCTGTCTCAAACAAACAAACAAACAAACAAAAAAAAAAACAAGGCTCAGTGCCCATAGCACAGTGGTTACAGTGCTGGCCACATGTACTGAGGCTGGCAGGTTGGAACCCGGCCTGGGCCAGCTAAACAACAATGACAATTGCAACAAAAAATAGCCAGGTGTTGTGGTGGGTGCCTATAGTCCCAGTTCCTTGG